CCCACTCGACCCACCCAAACAAAAGACTTGTGAATATAATATCACAATAATGAGATGAGTGAAAGGAATCCAGTATTGTTTTCGAGTCTCGGGCAGGTATTTATTTATTTCATCCCTCCTGCCACATCCCTTTGTGACTCGGATTAACATAAGTACAATGGCACTACAAACCCAGGACAATGAGTCGTCATCCAGAGAAACAATTCAATTGCTAATCGTCCTACTGCAGCTGGAGAGGAAACGAATACACGATCAGGAAGTAGAGAAATAGTGGAAATGCTCGACACACATGCACATATTTTAAGCACATTCTACACACTTTAAGCCTCGTAATGCAATTAGATGTTTCACTCTGACTTCTTTTTGGATATTACCCAAGAACCAGAGGAAGACTTTCTCCCCCATTTTTCTCTGCATGTGTGGTATTTTTAGGAAGATGATGTGACAGTGACATGTGGTGAAAGTTGAATTTTATTTAGGTAACATCTTGCCTTTGCTTCTCTCTCTCTCTCTCCTGTGGCAGCAGACAAGTGTGCTTCTGCTTCTGCTGCTGGTGGTGGTGGTGGAGGAGAGATTAAAGAGGGCGAAGGAAGAGAGAAGTTGTTTCATATTACACTTTGTCCTCCACTTTCTGTTAGGAATTGAATACGCCTTTTTCTTTTCCTGCTCCCTTTTTCAGTGGAAACTTTCAACCCGACGTAACTGTCTAACCTCACCAATAATATCGCTGTGTGGGGGTGATCTCGGTTTAATAGTGGTGGAAACTGGGGCAAAAAATGTAGCAAGTGTTTCTCTTCCTAGATACATACGTAGTTGGACGGAGGAGAGTGAAATTGAGTTGAGGAGTAGAATGGGATGATGATGATGGGGAACGGGTGAAAGGAGTCGACGAGTTTAGTTTGTCGGGAGGACATATAAAACTTATAAACTACATCGGAGAAGATGTTAGTGTTTATTTTTCCTCTCAAGCGGGACAGGTGCATGGTGGAGAAAGTTGGGATAATTTTATTTCGCCGATTTGTGTCTACACCAAGTAACCAGCCAGCCAGCCAACCAACCCGCCCGTTTACTTACTACTTGCCTCTTCTCGTTACATACTCACTCAAGTATCTCAAGGTTGGGTGGAGTTGGTATGTGGTGGATGGAGGGTCGGATAGATGGATATTCATGCTGCAACGCTGCCCCAGGCGTGCAGGTTAGTTTGGAGTTGAGATGTAAGAAAAACCACTTTCTCATCTCTCTGGCAAGGAAACATGCAACATTGTGACCATTTTGAGACATGTTTTTCCATCGTGGTGAATGAGAATTGGGGGATATTTGGCTAAGAAGAGGATGGTCGTTCAAAATGCGGTGGGCCGATAGATGGATGGATGGATGTCCCCAAACGCGGGATCAAAAAGTCATGTGTCTTCTTCTTGCCCGACAAGAAAGTTGTAACAAAGAGTAAGAAAGCAAGGCTGGCGAGTGAGGCAGGCAGGCAAAGGCGAGCAGCAGCAGAGTTGCTGAATCTACTGTGGAGATAATTCGACGGGAGATTTACACAAGACATCCATTCTAATTAGGAAACATAAAAGTCAATTTTCCCTTCAAGAAAAGCAAACAAGTTAACGAGTCCAACACGCAATTTTAGCAGGAGCAGCCGTGTATACGTATGTGTTCCTTACTCGTCGGGGGCAGCGGCAGGAGGAGCAATCCATTTATTGAGTGAGTCAGTATTAGCAGAGTAGGAAACAATAAGTGAGTAACAATCCATCCTTATTTCCGCCGTTACTTGTTCCGAGATAAACTTTAATTTAACTGATTTGCCGATAATCTCATAAACATGGGAGAGGAGGCTGCTGATTTATCACCGTTTAGCCTAATTGACGCTAATTCATCTCTGTCAATTACTTAACTTTTGCCTTTATACTTTTCCTTAATCCCTAAAGATGAAGGAGGACGGTTATCCGTGTGCATGAGCGTCATCCACATATACACACACGGAGAGAGAGACAAAGCACTGTTGGTCGGTCGGTCGGCCTTGTTTAGTTGGAGTCGCAGTTGCATAATTATATTTTTATCTGCTCCTCTCCTGTCGTAACGCTAATCCCAAGAAAGATGCCGACACATTAAAAATTTAGTCGGGTTTGGACGTACTCCTTTTTCCTCGACGACTTCTTCACCAAAAAAGATGCAAAGTAAGTATGTGTTGATATCGGTTTTTATTTCTTGGAATGAAAGCTGAAGAATTCCCACCAGGAAACTTTCCATTAGGCGTAATGTGTCCAAAAAAGGGAGAATAACTTGAGGTGAGTTGAGGTGATGTTACTTGACGTTGGATAAGTGCTGCTGAGACTATAATGTAACAACTTATATCATCGTCATCATCATCATACAGCGGATAGTTGTATAACTACACGACCCAGGACGGCGACGAAGACGACGTCCTGACTGCTGTTGTCTTTTAGGAGAAAGTATACACAGCAAACTTGAGAAGGCACTTTCCTAAGTGACTGGAAACAGAAAAGAATAGGAAATGCTGAGCAGAGAGAGAGCACAATAATAATTCCGTGTTACACGGTCGTCGTCGTCTCATCTTGATTCACTTCTGCCTCGCCTTTCCACAAGGGCGAGGAGCGAGAAAAAGAAGGGTTCTCATTTTTTACTCCTTGTGATAATGTGCTCCCTAAATTTTTAAAATGTTTGGGAGAACAGTTGAGATAAATATTATCCCAACATTATTTTCGTCATTCCTTTGTACGAGGGGAATCCCAAACCCTTTTTCCCGAGATAAAGTATGGTTGATGATGATGCGATGGTGGTAACTCTAAACGTCCAATAATGGAGACCCACTCAAACTAAATTATGCAGGATTTCTGAAAAGGTTTTGAGACTCGACATATATTTTTGTGCGGAAATTGGTGAGCGAACTAATGCGTCCACACCACCACACCACACGGACGGATGAGAGAATGAAGCTTTCAGCACTGCTAGATGTGACTCAATTTATACGGCCAAGGAGGCGGAGAACATCGATTTCCGTCCTCCTCCTTTCCTCTCATTCTTTCCTTACATAATTTGGAAATTCTTTCGCAAACAAATGCAAAATATGTGCTACGTAGATATCCAGGATGAGCTTTTTTCCGTTAAAGTTCACCATCACTTGAGAGAGTGGTGGTGAAGCGGAGTTGGATATGCTACCCAATTATCAATTCACCTGGATACTAACCTCGTGGGAAATCTTGTTCCCATTTCTAACCCTGCCCCTCGTGGTTTGTGGGATGGTGGAGTTGAGTGGGACCATCTTCACCTATTCAATAATAATAACTCAACAAGATCCAATCTGCTCGCGCTTTCACCAAAAATCAACCCACCAAGTAGCCACCGTCATGTACCACCAAGTTGAGTTTGGCTTTAAAGATTAAGCCCGCACTCACTTGCACTCGTCGTGGCTGGGAAGTAAGCCGGGCTGAAAATTTTATCAAATAAATAGCCTAATAAATCTGGGATAGAAAGTGAGTAGTGCAATTGATTCGGTCGTGCCGTCAAATTTGCTACCTCCAACTTTGTTTGGTTTGGCTTGACCAGTACACTTTGGAGAAAGGGAGAGAAAGTGAGAGAGAGAGATGACCTGTTGTGTGTTGTGGATGTGAGTGAGCACACAGATTAAGTATTTAGTTTGGTGATCGTGCATGACATGTTTCGTGCCACTACTTCTCTTCATGTCTTCAGTCAGGCCTGGTTTGCTTGCTTTTCGACTTTGCAGCAGCTCAATTACGCCACCCCACATAACAACAACTCGCACACACACGTATCCCATCATCCCACTTTCGACATGAACCTTGTTTGCCCCGACATGTCTGTTCGGCCAGTATGGGTTGGTAAAAAGTAGAAAATTTCCAAAAACCTTAATCATTAATAGGCATGGGAGAAGTGAGGGAAGAGGAAACGAGGAAGGAAGGTCGAAGAATCAAGTTGGTTTTTAGATTGCGTGAGTTATATTCTCATATGGCGTGACGGCCCCAATATCCATCCAACTCAGAGTTGGTTGGTTTTTGGTCTTGTTACGAAGAACGACTTGCGAAAATTCTCTGTCCACTTGAAATTATTTCTGCACGCCATTTCCCTATTCTATTCTGTGGGCCACTTAATGGGTGGACTGAACATGCTAACAGCGAGCGACTAGTGGCACCCAGCATGCACATGATTTTGGTTTCATATTGAAATAAAAGGTGGGAGAAAGCACGGGCGAAAGGGTGGCACTCCATCTTGTCTCTCGTATTTTTGACACCTGAGATAAGCAGGGTGGTGGTAAGCCCTTTTGTTTTCTCTGTGAATACAAGCAACACTTACGAATGCAAATATGAGTCGAGTTTGCTTTTTAAGCTGTATAAATTTACGTAATGTCCGAGATTCAGGAGGTGATTAGCCGCTGCTTCACCCCGGCGGTGGTGATGGCGAGTTTGTATGATTGTACGGGGAGCATTGGCGTATTTGCAGTTGAATTGATTCGACATTCGCGTGTGGCTTCGCTTTAGTTTAGTTTAGGCTGGAAGGGAAAATAAATAATACTTTTATTCGGAAGAATAAACTCTACGTGATGATAAACATTTTACAAAATGTGAAATTCTATTTGCTCAGCTCAAGGTTTTTTTAGGGCGAGTGCTTAATGAGAAAGGTGAGAAAGTCGTTAAAATTTTACATCGTCGTCTGCGTATTTAAAAAAATAGTTTCATTTATTTTTTATTCGTATAGTGAACATCTTGAGAAATTAATATTTAAAAAATAGCTCGACTATATTGGCAGCTTCTTGTTCTAATGCCAAAACCCCCGTCTCATTTCGCAGTACGGTGTCTTCCTTCAGCTTTTTGATTAACTTTGTGATTTCTTTCTCCACGAGTTTGTTCTCATCTGAGACAGTTTGTTGTACACCTGCAATTACGAATTGAGCGCATTTAGTAAAAATTTACGAATACGGTGTAATTTATTTAAAGTACAAGTAATTAAATCGTATATGCTTGCCATTCGTTAAGTTCACCATCAGCTTCTTTTGAATCCTCGACTTAACCATTAATAATTTAAGTTCAGCTACTGCAGTAAATTTAAATTCCAGTCACATCTACTCACCATTTTGCTATTAAACATTATGAAAAATATCAAACTTACGTCGTAATTGATCCAGTGCAGATGAATTCAAAGGCTGAGTGGAAATTGTAACTATTTCCTGAAAAAATATATAAATTTTAATGATTTATTATGATTAAATACTATATAAATATGGTATGTCTACCTCCTCCCTCAAATTCCTTGGATCGCAACATATTTTGAATCCAATGTTACCAATAATGCAAATTAATTAGTTACAAAACTTTAGCAGATAATATTTCTTCAGTCCGTTCAATCTCAGGAGAAGTACTTTCGCAGGAACAGAGTTTGTCTGTGTATGAGTTAGCAAAGCTGTAGGTACAAAACCGAACCCTTTTTTCGACTGGTTTATTTGGATGACAAGGAAGACATAACGGTTTCTCTCATCCTTACGATTCATGCTCATTCCTACTGAAAAGTGTTTTTAAAAATAAACGAGAAAAAGGGTCCGATTCTCGCTGTGCCATGGAGCCATTTCATAGATTCGTCATAAATACAGCCGAATAACCTACCTCACGTGGTTAACTTAAGAGGCCTTACTTGATATTGGAAAAAGCAGCAAGTTTGGTGAATAAAATAAATTTCCTAAAATTTATTTCTTTAATTTTATCTTGAGCGTTGAGTGGGCATGAATTTTCAATGACACAACTTGTAAACAAAAATAGACCATTTTAGACTTGGGAAATAAATTCGAGTTGTATATTTGGTGATCATCGACTGGTATTTCCACCTCATTTCACTTGACTGACTGCATTATATTCCTGTTTGCAGTCGCACATATACATACGTACGTCGCCCACGCATGATATGAGACATTAATCACCCACCGCACGAAGTTGCCGTGTTCCACACAATGGAAGAGAATTCGAAATGAAAACAGTCATCGTGGGTTAAGGGATTTATGCAAACCTATTTTTTACGATTTAACCCCACTTTACAAAAAATTAGAATTCTACTCAACTCATTTCTGATTCTGAGCAGACTGCAGAGGAATCGTGATTGTTCAAGTGGCCAAATATTTTTTAGGTTTTGGAATCCTCAAAAAAATTCGAAATTGTCTGGAGAAGATTTATTTCTGCCGAAAACAATCCGTAGTTGCACCGAAATCTAAATTCGATCTGCGCGAGGTTTACTACAAAGTGAAAGCATGACGAAGATAGTCGTCGTCGCCGTCGTTGTGTGTGTGTGTTTGACATACATACCTTCGCAGTCTACTACCTCACGCTCCCTCAAACTATCTCTCTCTCTCTAAAGCAGGAGTAGCAGCTTATCCATCCTTTTTCCGAGTATGTATGGATCGCTTATCATCATGGTACTCGCTCACTCAGAACCATGGGTTTGGTAAAGTGGGCAAAAATAGATTGGAATTGTTGGAGGAATGGGATGAAAGTGGAATGATCAAGAGAAGCAGAGGGAGAAGGATGGACGTGTAGAAAATGGGGAATTTCTGTCTGGTGATCAATCTGTAACTTGTCTTTTGTGCATTTCATCCTTTTTTCTTGTCACCAACTACAATTCCGTTTACTACTTCTTACCAGTGATACTAGTTCCGTCGTCCAATCACATCGCATTAGATTCACTCCTCCATCCATCCATCTCTCTCTCTCTTCAGTATTACCTTCCAACTCGTGTACTTTTTTGGAGCAGAGAGAAGAGAAATGCGATGAAAATAATTATTGCCTGCTTTAATTGAGACTAAAGGTGACAATTGCAGTTACGTCATTGCCGCTATACACGTATCGTCGTAATTCGTTTACTGTACACATTTTGTAAAGCGGACAAAGGGTTTTATTTCCATTTTATGCGGAGCTGAGTGAGATTCATGACGGTGTTTTGCCTGGTGGAATATGTGAGGCGCAGATGGAAACACGATGTGGACCTTGTTGTTGAAGGCTTTTTTTAAACTTATTCTTTTATCTCGCCGTAGTATCGCTTTTTGCAGCATGAGCAGCAAGGTCCTCTCCTCGCTCGTTCGCTCGCTCGTTGCAATATGGACGAGCGGCAGACAAAAACTGAAAACAAATCGAAACCATGTCCTTTCGTGATCATCAATCTTGATTACGGTAGAAAAAAGCTATTTCGTCTTCTATTAGAAAATGGACTAGGGCACGGGAAGGGATATAACGTGACGGTACGAGGTGGATGCTTTCACCGGACATGGGCAAAAAAACAGGGTTGCTAGTAGGTAGCCAAGCCAGCTCCTTCTATCAGGCTCATCACAATATAATTAACATCACTCATTCTCGTCACTTGGTGCGAGTTCCGGAGAAAATTATAAAATTTGCATGCATGGCAATTTGGAACTCGTCCAGGTATTGTGGATGAAATGAAATTGTTCTTCCATAAATGGAATTAATTCTTTACAAGAAATCTAATTTATCCTCTAAAAAACTGGGATATCTATTTACATTATTCAAATTTTGTTAGGGTTCATTATTTTCAATACTTTCCCAGCGGAGAGACCCTTAAATCCAATAATCGAGGGTTTTTTCAATTTAGTTTTTTACTAGTCTTTTAAGTATTACGTATTGTTCGAAATTTCGTCATGTGGTATATTCCCTCACGTGTATAAATTGACTTTGATTGGCCCCTTGTTCCAGCCGCATCGCAAGTAATGAAATTCTGGTGGTTTTCCACATTACAAAACGACCAAGAAAGTAACGAGCTTGTGATGACTTAGTTTCATTACCGTTGTTCTTGGTGGGCTAATCCTACTTGGAAATAAATCATGGTTAAGCTGTCGTCATCCGGCGTGTCGCAGACCTGTTTTTTTCCTTCTTGTCATCCTACATGCGGCGTAAACACGGTTTGATGAGTTTAGCTTGAAACGAGCCAAGGCCGCTATAGTCTCCATTTCCCTGTGTCTTAGAGCAAAAAAAAAGTGAAAACCATCCTCATCCACTTTTACAATATATATTCAGCGACTTACATATGTTACGTAACGTGAATTATATATACGTATATTCTTATATACAATGTGTGTTTCTCTCTTACAGGTAACCGGGGTCGTGGGAAGGGCCGAGTCTTTGTCCTCGATATTCTTCATCTTGGCTTTCACCACGTATGTGAAAGCGACCAAGAAACGGAGCAAAACAGGTACGTTCCTATTTATGCTCCCTTTTTGCTATGCATATAAACGATAGCACTGCATTACACTCACACATTAATTAAAAAGTTCTCTCCGCCTTTTATCACTAATGTTCTACCCCGTCTTGAAACGTAATTACCCAAATGATGCTGGAATTACGATCAACTGCCGAGTTGCGTATGGTGGTGAGTGACAGCATAAGTTGGCCGTATCCACAAAGGGGCTGAAAGATTGACAGACACCCGAGAGCTAATTGGGTGGCGGTGCGTTGATTTCGGATGGATAAGTTGGAATAAATTGTGGAGTGGGAGTGAAAGGAGTGGAAGAAAGAAAGGGTGACTGGGTGTGGATCATGTGGAGGTTGTGGATAATGAGCGATTATTGTGATTGAAAAGACAAATGATGATGACTGCGGAGTTAGAGGAGATCGAAAGAGAGAGAAAACACATGCAAATTGCGCAAGGAGGTGAGAGAAAAGATTTATTGCCGGGTATTACCACCACCAAATCCGAAAGGATCGGCGTCATTAACCAAACTCAAATTAATCATCAAAGGGAGAAGGCAGAGAGACAGGGAGTCAGAGAAAGTGGTTTGAATTTTTTTCATCAAGTCGATCCCGACCTTATACTTTCCTCTCCGCACTCTTTTAACTTTTACCAGGACGGAGGAGTTCAATCCGACTTGCATACTTACCAGTTGTCGTCGTCACTCATCGTCTGCCAGGATAGTTCGCTAAGCTATAGGCTCACCAAGCCGGGAATAAAGCATTACTCACTCATGCAATCACAATCAGTCGCAGGCAAGAGCAGTTATAGCAGTTAGCTCGGTGGAAGTGGGGATCGTAAAAGCTGGGAGAAAATTAGTCCAATCAGCACTCAATTGAATCATTCTCCCTCGCATACTTATTCTTGCGGGTAGTTTATTTAATGAAAAATTATTTAGAAGGGAAGCATGGCGTGGCGTGATCCCCTAATTGACCTCCAGCAGTAGTCAATATTGCGCTGGTTCTTCTATAGTCGCCCTGGTGGTGGTGAGAATTATGGGAGGGAAGAATCATGAAAAATTAGAGGCGACTCTCTGGCTTAGGGACGAACGGAGAGGGGACACACTGCTCATTTTCGGCGTAACCGTAATCAATGCGTGGATTGAGTGAGTGGATGAAATGACTTGGGAATAATTTGAGAGACTTTTTCCAATATTTATGGAGAACTTGGGATTTCTCTCGGAGCTTCGGGGGGATTGACGATACAGAGAAAACATGGATGGCTGCCCGCTCCATGGAATCTGTATCAAGTTACGTAACATGGTGTAGCCTACCGAAAATGTGTATATACACACATGTATATGTATGCACACATATAGTAATTGGTGTTGGTTGGAGGGGTTTCTGGCTGCATGCTGGCCAGAGGTCAACAGTGGATGCATTTGGTAGCATTACTGGTTATCAGTAAGTCAGGCGGTGGAAATATGTACGTAGCAGTGGAATCCATGCCCGTGGGACCCTGCTTCTGGTTTCCACACCACTACGCTCTAGCCTCCACCGGACCCAGGCCTCGGTTCTCTTCTTACCAAGGACTATAAACTAATGGAATGGGGATAAATATTGTTTGCTGAGGAAAAAGTAGTGAAATAAAAATTGGTGGAGAGATTTCACCCTAAGAGAAAGTTTCCTTCGTTATTATTTTACTGAAGGCCCAGACGGAGGATGACAATAACCGAGTACAATAAAAATTTGAAATCTGCTGACTCTCCTCATTCTCTCCACACTGACAGAGTACGTAGCAGCCACTCTTAGTTTTGTCGGCATTTATTGAGTAAGTGACTCGACTTGACTCTGGACTTTGGACAAATGTGTTGTGGGCTTCTAGTGAAAGTTAAAAATTTGTCTGGGGAGCGACCGGCAATAACGATAATGACCTGAGGGAGTAATTGACATGGTGGAAAGGAGGAATGAAGGAAATCATGTCCAAAACCCTGTGTGAACTTGTATCATAATGTTCACCATGATGCGGAACATCCATGATTTACACTCTTCAACGTCGACTCGTTGTAAATTCCGCAGAAACTTTAGACTTTAAGGCCGCCAGTTTGTGCTACGTGGATTTGGATGCTCCTCTTTCCGCATTCTTTCTTTCTTCTGCCCCCTCAACGTCATCCTGATGCGATGTGCGTTGGCTGGGTCGGTCGGTCGGCAACGGTTCGTTCGAGGCTGAATGATTTGTGGCAAATGTTTCCAGGGTGACTGTAATGATTTGGTTTCACCCCGTCTCAAGGGATTTCTCAATTCCCTTCCATATCATTAGCAACCAACTGGCAACTTGCTGATCATTTATTTTCATACCTTCTTCTCTTCTCCTACTTTATTGGGACGAATTGCTGCCTACACTCCAAATCCTGGGTGGATTCCTCCTCTTTAGATTACTTTTTTCTATTTTTGGTCTAAGGTCTAAGGGGGGGAGAGGCGGGGGAAGACGTGGGGGGTGAATGTGGACTCTATTATTCATAGAAAACGGGCATCATCATAACTTTGCTCTGCTCCGGATTGGTGGTCAACGTAGAAACAGATAATGCCTGCAGTCAGCTAATTACGACGTAATACACAAGTTTTACGAGAAGACAAGCAACAGTAATAGCATTTCTCGGGGGAGGCATTAGGAATTGGGAATAGTTGGACATTGTCCAATCCAGTCGTCACGTAGAATGAGTGACGCTAAACAGCCTCTTGGTAGACAATGTATCAATTATTTCCCGAAAAAAATAATCCCAACTTTGGAAGAAAAGCAGGAAAGGATTTAATCCGTTGTGTGTTGTTATACTTTTCCATATCACATCCATTAATGAATCAGGCCATACTGAGGGAGAGAAAGATAAGAGAAATGATGAGACAAACGAAAACAAGCAACAAAGAGATGAATAGAAATCGATAATATATATATAAGTGAAAGTAAATGATTAGCAATGTAGAAAGGGACATGCACATTCTATACTACGTACGTACGTAAGTACACAGCTTATAATACTTTTGATTGGACAAAGGGGAGAAGATGATGATAAGAATGTTATTATTATAACAATCGTGACGATAATGATCAAATCGGATCATTTGGACCAGAGAGAAAGTTGCAGTAAAAAAGAGACAACGTTTCTTAGAATTTGATCCGTATTTATTCTTAGGGGAGGTACAAAAAGAGTATGGAAACAAAAAAATTGTTAACTGGTAGCTGAAAAAGTTGACCTAAATATGCATTTCTCAGTTAGAATATCTCAGGCAGCAGCACCAAGATCGGTGATGCTACAATGCACAATTCTCTCTGCATGATAAAATTATTTTTTTTTACTTTTAATTGGACCAGGCTCACCTAAGTGATACGACCTTTTCGGGTTTATTTATTTATCCATGTCTCATACCTTTCTCGAAATATTGTTTGTTTAGAGAATAAGACTAATTAATTAATAATGATTATTGTATTTTACATGTACAAATATGATGCATGTCACAAAATAATAAACTCGTCGAAACACACCTGGCATTTTTTACGAAAAATAATTAATGTGATTTTTTCTTTTGATTAAATCGTTCCAGACTGGAAGCTGATGCTGGTGTGCAGTTTGCTCGTTGCGGTTGCCATGTTGTGCAAGGAGCAAGGGATCACGGTCCTTGGCGTGTGTGCCGTGTATGAAATATTCATCCTGCAAAAGGTAAGTTTCTAATATTCACCTCTTACTCCTGCCCGTGCTTATTTGCTCATTCCGCCTCACTTTTCTTTGTCGGGGAGGCAAATGTAACATTTATTCACCGATTGACGGCTTCCATCACCTTGTTTTCACCTGGACTCACACCACCTCGAGTCCAGGTTTGAATGGGGGAAATGTTACACTTACTTTTTCCCGTTATGTTACTGCTCTCTCGTATTTGTATATGTGCATTTACGACTCGCCACGACGGCACACCCTGCTGAGAAATAATGCAATCGTCATAAATTATACGGGGTCTGGTGTACACGTTCATGCACACATACATTTATGCACAACTTTGCGTGTAGCAAAAAAGCGGTCGAAATTCTTTCGATGCACAAATGGGAGAAATACATTGGGAATTATGTCTTAAGAGCGAGACACGTACAATTTTTCTGTTGGTTGGTGGCTCCAATGAAATACAATTTGCTTCCCATTGTAACTATCTATCTGCACCAAGGTATGCGTATCTTGTATGAATGTCTGTACGTATGTATGAGTGGGTGGGTGGGTGTGTAGTGAGCGAGGTGAAGCAGTAATGTCAATGAATATGAGGCTGACTGAGGAGTGTATATATGTGGCAAAGTATTTTCTTCTCCCTGCGTCCAATTTTCTCTGGACAAGTTGACTTTTTTCGTGCACATTAGTCCTTGACTTATGAGCTCATTGGATATTATGTTATGATTATGGTTTGTGCTTCTGCTTTCCAGTTGAGAGTGAAGGACCTAATCCTCCTCCTCCAGCCTGCGTTAAGAGGTAAAGGCTCCCTCCCCTCTTGGATAAGTCCCGTGAGCCAGAGAATGTTGGCGCTGATAGCGACTGTGATTGTACTATTTTTTGGTCGCCTTATTGTCATGGGTTCGCAACTGCCCGTGTTCACGCGGTAAGTTTTTTTTCTTCCATTTCTGCATTAATTTCACATGAACATAAACAATGTGCAGAGAAGAGAAGAGAAGGTCGCCGTCGTCTTCTTTGTGTCTCCTTATTCCTTGAAAAAGAGGTCATGGCGTGGTTGGGTTTGTTGTATGGAGCAAATTATGAAATAAACCACAAATCCACGTCTGATAAAGATACGTATGACAAGCAAAAAGGAGAAGAAACAAAGGGGGGAATTTCTCTCCTGGTTTTGTTTCAAGTTTTGTATCCATGTCTTTCTCTCTCTGGGTTCCCCTCCGGTGGTAAATTCATTGAATTGGATGAATTTTGTGGAGAATAAAGTAAAAGTAAATCAACACAGAGAAGAAGATAGCAATTGAGACGACGATGATGATGACGCAAGGGAAGCAGTGGTAGGGACGCTACAAAGGAATGGATTGTCGGCGAACAACAACAAATAATATGTTTCGTGATTACATATTTCGTCCTTTTCGAATTTTCTGCACAATGTTTTGTTCGATGATACAATTTCATAATAATTAATGTCGTTGTTATCTAAATTTCCCAGGTTCGACAACCCCGCATCCGTGGCCGAGTTTCCTGTGCGTCACCTCACCTACAATTATCTGATTGCGATGAACAGCTGGCTACTGTTGTTCCCATGTGATTTGTGCTGTGACTGGACGATGAACACCGTCCCCTTGATCGAGGGCTGGGGAGATCCTCGAAATTTTGCAACCATTTCGACCTTCGCCGTTCTCTTTCTCTTGGCCAAGGCGGCCTTGTCCCGAGGCTCGGATCGGCACTCAAACATTGTCATCATGGTACTTTTTGATTTTTCCTTCTTGATAAGTTTTTTGAGAGGAGATAGCTTGAGCAATAAGTTGGTGGAGAAAGAAGAGGAGGATGTATTTTCTTTGAGAAGAGAGAATAACGGAACAAACAGGGTGGGGATTGAATTGTTGGCTCGCTCTTCTCCGTACTCTTACTCAAAGCGGACGAGAGAATGAAGAAGAAGGAATGTTTGTTTTTCTACAAGTTTTATGATCCTGGCCTCTGTTTGTACAAGAGTTGATCTTGATTTGCTCAAGCGGGTGGGTAGCGTATGTACGTATGTGTGGATATATGGGCGATCTCACTCACTCAGATTCATTCATTCATCGATTCACTAACTAAACCAACATCAACAAGGATGATGAAATGGCTGAATGACAGACATGATGACAGTTCTTTTGTGTATCCAGCCAAACAAAGCAGAGAAACGAAGATGACTGGAAAGTATATATTAACTTGTTAACAAAACTACTTGTATGACTCGGCACTTTTCTCCCCGCACACACACACACACATCAAAGAGACACATGAATACTACACGGCTGACTGGCTGAAACGTAATGTGATGACGATAAGGATGATAATGAATGAGAAAGTGGAAGGGCAGAAATCGGAGAAAGGATGGCTATGTGCGAGTCTCATTTTTATTATTGTGTGGCCAATATTGCGGGTGGGTTGGTTGGTTGGTAATTTTTTCGGGGAAAGTGGGGAAAGTGAGAGAGAGTGAGTGGATCGGCTGCCCTGAGGGATTTTCGTCCTTCTTTTACTGTGAGCACTGCAGCGAAAAGACCATCGTTCTCCTCCTCCTCGAAGCAAGTTTGGTTTTGATGATGATGAAGCTAATGAAAGAAATCAGTGTAGAAGTAGTTGTAGCCTGGTGGTGGTGATATGATGATGATGACGACACATGTCCGACATTTCAGGGTTTGTCACTCATGGTGTTCCCCTTCCTGCCCGCATCCAATCTATTCTTCCCTGTGGGTTTCGTAATCGCGGAGAGGATCCTGTACATCCCTTCCATGGGGTTCTGCCTCATCGTCGCCTACGGGTGGACGCGGATCTACTCCTCCAACAAGTAAGTGCCACCACAAACTGTTAGCTGTTGTTAAATAATGCATAATTATAGACATACCTTGTCCCAAAGGTGGTGGTGGTGGCACGTATTGGTAGTGAAATAACTGAGCGGACTGGGATTAATGGATCCACGTTATGTAATTTTCTTTCACCACCACCACCAATCCTTCCATGCTCACGAATGTGTAAGTGTATGTGCCAACACCATGGGAAGATGAGAATGCTGGTTGGAGGGAAAGTCGTTCGTAGTAATAAGCTCATAGTTATTTTGGTGCCGACTTTAAAGGAAGAATCCCAACTATTCCTCTATTACTGATGAGCAAAAAAGTGATACATGATGATGAAACGAGCTAATATAATGTATCTTCGCGTCATTGTTGTTTGCAGGGAGCGGAGAAAGTGGTGCTGGTTATTTTTGGCAGGATTGTTGTTTCTCCACGGGGCCAAGACACACGTCCGGAACAACGACTGGGAATCGGAATACTCCATTTTCATGGCTGGACTCCGGGTGAACCAACGAAATGCCAAACTCTACAACAACGTCGGACATGCTCTCGAATCCCAAGGAAAATATAAGGATGCCTTGTTCTATTTCCAGAAAGCTGTGGGGTAATTTATTTTTAGAAATGTTACCATTATTTGTTCCTCTTTTTTCAATCCAGCCATCAGCACGCACCCAAATTTTAATAAGCTGGCGCTGATTTTGAAACTTTTACTGTTCCTCGCTGGGGTTTTGTCCAGTAGAGCGAAAGAATTTATTTTTGTGGTGGTGGTGAAATACGGCCGACGCAGATGAGGAGCACAGTATCCAAATAAGTTGTTGGATCATAAACACTTTTCCCCGAGCAAAATACATTTTAGCTTTTTAGGATAAGTTGTTATCTTTACATTTCTCGTGTCTTCTTTTTGGATGGTGGTAGGAAGAAAGGACGGGCGAGAAAGTCACCCTGCACATGCAATATAATAATAATAATATAAGGGAAAAATAAGAATGTTATCTTTCTCTCTTGCAGTGTTGTGTGTGTTGTTTTGCTGCCAAAATTTTAATACACATGCCCAAAATTTATTGCTCTCTTACAATTTCACTTATATGATAAAGGGCCCACAGCAAAACCTTCCATCCTCTGGCATCGTTGGGCCACACTTTCCTCTATGTTTGTTCGTAACACTTGATTAACTCACTTTTTTTTGGTTGAACGAAGGATTTATTTCATCTGCTGATATATTATCCGAGGAGGGAAAGTCAAAAGTCGCTCTGACAACTTTCTCCTTCCTTCGTCTTCTTCTTCGTGCAAGTTCCGTCGTCCAAACTTGGTGGTATTGGGATCGTGGTGGTAATGGCATAAGGCTCAGTTAATGCATTGGTCGGTTGGGTGGTAACTTGCTGCCAATGTTGTAGTCGTTCTGCTGCTGTAGCCGCGGCTGGGGGCAAGTATTATCCTCTGGCTTGTGGATGATTCTTAGTGGATAAAGTTGTATCCCATTTTTGGGTTTGGCTGAAAGCAAAAAGAGCCCTTCATCCATCCAGGGATGAAAAATGTAAAAAATTCAAAATAGAATTTTATGAAAAGTTTTTCCTCAGCTGTCCACACGACGCACACAAGATGCATAGATGTATAACTGGCGAGTCCATTATCGCGAAACTGCTACGTACCAACTCCACGACGACGACGACGACGACGACGACTAGTGAATGAGAACGAAGATATATTGGACCAGATCAAGATTGATCACGTAGTTGTATTCAGGTGCATTCTGCACACTACATACATGGGCTGCTGTGGGATTGTGAATACTGGCGTGTCCAATGAACGAATGGACGACGAGGGCGACGGAAACAAGTATTTTTGCTTCTCCAACAGGATACTCGCATAAATAAAAGTTAAGCCTGGGAAAGAGACAGCTAGTCGCTGGTTGTAGAGGGAGAGAGTTGACTTGTTGAGACTGAAATACGCGTGGTTTGGTAGGATATTGAGCCGAAAATGTAGCAGCAGTAGCCAAACGATGCACACATGATACACTATTGAACAGAAATAGCTCGAGAACTGGGCGAAGGTAGTAAATTGAAGCCGAGGTGGAGTAAAGTTTACCAATAAGTCAGTTTTCCCCAAGTCCGAAATGAGATAAATCAGTAGATCCTTGGGGTTTCTTTCCTTTCTCTCTTGACCATAAATTCTCTCCGCCAAAGAAGAAGTAACCCGATCGTCCAAGGAACGGACGGAGGGGGACATGCATCAACATCATCGTCGCGTGTGGAAGAAAACGCTTGTGGTTGGGGGGCTAAAGTGCACGCTGGTTTTATCCAAGCACTTGGTGGGTATTTACTCCCCTCGTCCAAAAAGCTTTTTGTTGTCTTCACCACCAACTTATTGTACGATTGGATTGGAAATCTCACTCTCTCCAGGCAACTAATATTATTTGTCAAACTAAAGTTTTTAAGTAAGTTGGCTTCAAGAGGAAACATTATCCGGAGCTGATAATGTCCTCACTTGCTCCCTCGGCTATTGCGAGCAGGAGTAGTAAAAGTGTGGTGGGTGGTTTTCACCAGATTTTCGAAATTCCCTGATGGACACTTGTTTTCAAGTGATATGATGATGCGAGGATGAGGTCTGATTTAAAGGGTCGGACATATCGACGTGATGCATTTTCAGATTTTATCTCCTTTATAAATTTTTCCCAAGGATTAAAGTTTCATTTTATAAGAGAGGAAGAGAGAGTGAGAGTTTTCAAATTATTATGTAAAATCCTGCAAACATTTTTAATTATGGGAAAAGCAAGCAGCAGGGTTTCAGGTTTTGTTAGAAGATGAGAATAATAGCGATTACGTAAAACTTTTGCTTTAAACTCCTCATCTGCCAGGTAGACAAACTTCTCTTTGATTTCGACAAGTGAAGCCATAAGTTATTTGCAAAAATGATGTGGTTTTTCCACAACTGCCTCATCTTCTTGTTTGCAACTACTTGAATGCATAACTTTATAACCCGGTAGGGATTGCAAATCCGTTCTAATTTTACAAATTGGGATTTTGAAGCGAGACCGTAAATCTGATTTTTATTTCCTCTGGGTGTTTCGTAAATGTGGCCAAATTATTTGATTTCATCAAACAATGTTGAATAAAGAAAATAATCCATTTTCGCTCGTTTAAACCTTTGATAAAAATCCAAATTTTCTCAGATTTTTAAAATTACTGCTATTGAATATCAAACAATATTTGAAAAACATCCGGGTTTTGTATCTGTGAAATCCGGATTTTGCAGTATTCGAAATTCGTAAAAACCGGATTTGTAATCCCTAATTCCCAGTCGTCTTTCTCTTTCTTTCTCTGTGTTATGAAATGATGAGAAGGATGAGATCAAGATGAGAAGATATTGAAGAATATTTGAAGAAACGTCTCAACGCATAAATTCCTTCTTGATCTTGAGATTAGTTTTCATCGCGGACCAAGAGTATTTGTGAAGTTGAAGGAATGGTATTCCGAATTTTGATGAGATGAGCCCATCCACCAATCGAACAAACCAACCGAACCATTTCATAATCAAGTACACTCACCACTACCCACCCACCATCAGACTCTCAACTACTCTGCTTTCACCTCGAGAGAGAAAAAACCTCGTCAACTTATTATTATTAGGAGACGAAGGAGAGAGACAGAAGGAAACCAGTCCAAGGAGGCGAACCAGCTCCAGAGAACGCTCAGCCCATATTGATCGGTTTTAATGAATTTTGTAAAATCGATCAAGATGTGAATTAACAAGAGAGAGAGAGCGGAGAGGAGAATACACAACAAGAGAGCACGCCGTGATTGTTTCGGAGAGGAAGAAAGCATTTGTTTCTTCCTCTTGCCGGACGAGTAAATAAAGGATAATGAGGAGGAGATGGGTGAAGGTTGTCTTTCTGCGCTCTCCTTTAATGCAGTCGCTGGATGGAGGGTTGCAGCAGCAGCTCCATCGGATTCTACAATTTTATTTCACCGGCGACAAGGACGACAAGCAGAGGAGAAAGCATACATAAGTACAGGAGTTGGGTGCTTAGGTTGTGGTGGAGACGAAGAAGCAGAAAAAAGCGTCGTTCTAAGTAAGTCGACTTGGCTGGATTGGTAGGTAGGAAGGAGAGCCGTGTAATGCAGTCTGCATGGTAGTTGAGCTGAAAGGGAAAGTGTGTTTACTCGTCGGCCGTATTTTACTTGGTTAGTGGACTGGAAGTAAGGAGAGGGTTGATTAATGTGACCGTTTTCAATTCAGTGTGCAATCAGATGACAAAGATAAGATGCATTTTAACCCATAGGTCACAAGCAGATGACATCGGTGCTCACATCAATGTTGGGAGGACGTATAACAACCTCAGTAAGTTTGTCATTGGTAATCACATTTAAAGGACATTCTTATTCTTGATACTTTATTTCAGAGCTGTATAAAGAGGCGGAGGACGCATACCTCAAGGTACGTACATAGCGCTTTTTGATCCTCTCTTCAACTTTAAAATACGTTCAACGCTCATCTTCACCCTCATCCATCTCTCTTACCGAGATGCTCCTCTAATGATTTACGCTTGGAAAATTGTGGAAAACGTCCTTTATGATGATGATGATGATGGTGGTGTGCCCGTGAATGAGTGCGTCCTCCTCCATCGGCCTCTCCTCGTTCGGCGGTGTGGTTGGGCCCCCATGTTTACTTTAAGCGAGGATGAGCATTATTCTGGAGGAGATAAATAAAGTCTTGACGTAAGAAAGAGGAGCAAAATTCCTTGTTAGCTTTGGGACACCACTCAATGAGAGCACCGAGTCAAGAAGTAACATGTTCTTCTTATCCTACGTGATTGAGTGGGGAAAAGAGCCAAACAAGTTATCAGCCTAGCAATGAGAAGGTGGATGGCCAACATGGAGAGTTTGATAAAAAGAAAGCAAGCCCAAGGTTCTCTTGACACGATTTGTTTAAATTGATGAAGTCATGAAGGTTGTGGGCAAAAAGTGCATACTCTATGCATGTATGTACATGGTATGCATATCGTAATACCATGCATGCATTATTTCGCCAGTGATTTAAAGCATTTAAAGTTTATCGCGGTTATCGAAGCCAAAACGGGACGATGTACATAAATGCGCACATACACACACCACACCCTTTCGGTGTATCCAGTTTATTTATTGCGCTAAACTACACACATGTTGGTTATGCAGGTTGGATTTGTTATAAATATAACGACGACTACGACGAGGACGAGTTTGTGGAATATTGGTGGAATAATCCACATGAGGAATAGAATAACGAAGTAGTTCTGTCTTTGGTTGTGATGATGATAGAGCACCCTTATCCTTTCCTTCATATCCTACTTATCGAGCAACGTCTCCTTCCTTGGTCGCTTCTTCTCCCTATGATTCGATTCACCCATTATTATTATCCATCTGTTGTAGTCTTGCGGTTCTGGCGTGGATTTGGCCAATCTTTTCTTCCCCGCTGGTCCTTTTTGTTGTTGCTTTTCTCATCCTCCTCCTCCTCGGCGTATAGCGGTTGGTGGGAGGAGGGTGGATTTGATGCAACAGAGAAGCGATGGGAGGCCTTGTTCGCCAACTAACCTCTGCTTATTGATTGTTTCCTTTGTTAACAACAAGATTGATGATTTCCAGCATCTTCTTCTCCTCCACCTTTGTTCCACCAACAACATCCTTCGATTCATTACCCTCCTCTTCTTCTGCGTCTTCTTCAAACTCCTCTTCGCCTTCTTCGTCCTTCCACATCCCGAAAAATGAATGATGACAAACATTCATGAACGCTCTCACTCTCCTCGTGCGAGATCCGATCAAGTTTATCCGGTCCGTATGTACAAACACGGGATACTTGTTCACTTATAGGATCCGTCAAGGAACTAAATAGGGCGAAAAGAGCGTAAAATATGCATTTACTTGTTAGTTTAGTGGAATGATGCCAACGTCAAGATACGATTTGTTTGCACAAAAGTTCCAACTTTATTATAAAGGACTTTCCACTGGGTAGCCACATCATCATCCTCATCATCACGAACTATCGAACTCCAACCATCAATCATTCATTATATTATTATTGAAATGTTGTGAATTTCTGGATGAGTTAACTCTTCATTTATTTATTGATGTACATATTTATTTATTGTTGCTATAATTTCTTTCAGGCCAAGTCGTTGCTCCCCAAGGCAAAACCTGGCGAATCATACCAAGCAAGGATCGCTCCCAATCATCTCAACGTATTTCTGAACCTGGCCAACCTGATTGCTCGGAATGAAACTCGACTCGAGGAGGCTGACCGTCTGTATCGACAGGCCATCTCCATGAGGGCAGATTACACGCAAGCCTACATCAACCGTGGCGACATTCTCCTCAAAATGAATAGGTGAGTCAGCAGAGCGTTGGTCGGGGTGCATGGTTGGTGGGGTCAAAATAATGAGAAAAGAAGGTGGACGAGGAATATTATTATTATTATTATTATGATACAACGACACAATTGTCATGTCACTACACGGACCGCAACCATCAATGGGGGATGATTGATGAAGCCTTCTTTTGTTTTGGTTTTCAGGACAAAGGAAGCACAGGAGGTGTATGAGCGAGCCTTGTTCTATGATAGCAGCAACCCCGACATTTACTACAATGTGAGAGCAGAAGGATATGATTTATTTTGTCGCGAGATATTATTCATCATTGTTAAGAAAAGGAGAGTGTAAGTTTACATGTGTACTCTTTTTGTGTTCCTTCTTCGTATAGCTTGGAGTGGTTTACTTGGAGCAAGGAAAACCATCTCAGGCTCTCGCATATTTGGACAAAGCTCTCGATTTCGAACCGGAACATAGTCAAGCTCTCTTGAATTCAGCCATCGTTCTGAGTGAATTAGGAGACCCACCACATCGGGCCATTGCGAAACAGAGGCTTCTCACCCTCCTTTCGAGAGACACGAATAATGAGAGGGCTTACTTTCACATGGGCATGTTGGCCATGGACGATAGAGACTCGGAAAATGCGGAAAAGTATTTCCGGTTGGCGATTCAACTCAAGGAGGATTTCAGGAGGTACATATAAATAGACATAAATATTTTTGGACAAAAATTAATTTGAAACTATTTTTTTCCTATTTTGTTCCAGTGCTCTGTTCAACTTGGCATTGTTGCTGGCAGATAGTCAAAGACCATTGGAGGCCGCTCCGTTCTTGAACCAGCTAGTGAAATATCATCCAGACCACATTAAAGGGCTTATTTTGTTGGGAGACATTTACATCAACAACATTAAGGATTTGGACTCTGCAGAGGCGGTAATCTTACTAACCAGAAAAATCGAAAGTATAGTAGATGGTAGTAATAAGTAATTTAACAATTTTATGGTATGCAGTGCTATCAAAGGATTTTGACACTGGACCCGGAAAACGTGCAAGGTCTGCACAACCTCTGCGTCGTCTACGTGGAAAGAGGAGATCTTCTCAGGGCTGAGAAATGCTTTATTCGAGCTTCACAACTTGCACCACATGAGGAGTACATTGTTCGACATTTGAAGATTGTTCAGCAAAGAATCAACAAGCTGACATCCGTCGTCAACCAAAACTCGCCGACCAAAAGTGTCATGCAAAAATCTCAGAACGAATTTGACGACACCTTCGACGTCGACCATGTGGACGATGCCACGACAGAAGATGGAGCATCAGATCAGAATCATCCGGAAAATGACAACAGCAATGATGTCAACTTTGGGGATAATGGAAGCAGCAAAAATTATATGCCCAACACGGAGAAAATTTTTCCATAAGATAAAATGCAACCAGTTATTGTTTTGCGTAAAGAAAAAAAAATCATGTACTTTGAATTGTAATTAATATACATATTTCTATTTTAAGTTAAACAATTTGCTCTAAGTACTTATATAATGTCTCTTGGCTTACTTTTAAAGTAGCTGTTGCGAGACGACGTGTTTCGGTTTGAATCTCATTGTGTAATTTTTGTGGACATGTTTGCAATTAAGGACTGTTGTACCTCACAAATATGAAAAATATTTTGTAAATGCTATAACGAAACGACAGAATGCTACTCGACTCTTGTATGAAAATATTTTTGTGTGCGCTAATGTAAAAAAAATATTTCTGCAAATTGTAGGATTATGAAAGCTAGATTGTATGTATGTCATGTACATCTAATGATGTTGTAATAATGTACTATATACAATTATACATACGTTTAATTAATGATGCTATAGAAATATACACTTGAAGTTGTTTAGTGATGGTTGCAAATCAATTAAAAGTTTGGTAGTGCAGGCCTGGTACTCACATACACTGTACGCAACGTATTAGGATATGTATTTAGCTACGTATGCACATAAGTAGGTATACTGCTTAGTTTTACTTAACAGATTTTTCTGATTGAAAAATATTACATGGAAAACAATTTTGATTCACGAAACAAAAACAGATTTGGAATGGATCGGACTATTACGATAACAAAACAGTTTACTATACAATCATTGTTAACTTTTAACTTTAATTATCTACATACTTAATTGCACTACTGTTAAAAAAGAAAACTAGTTCTTAATAAAATAAAAAGTATATATTATATATATAATCATGTATTCTGTAACTTTGTATGTAATTGGATGGCCCTAAAATGGTGCCTTTGTGTCTTTGTACTTTCACTTTAATACTAATACTACTACGTCACAATTTAAGATAAATTGTGCACATTTTTTCAGACTAGAAATGAAAAGAATGTTATTATAAAATTTGACATGTATGTATACTCACTCGTAAACTCGTACATGAAGAAAAATACTGTAAAATAACACTTTGAATGTGTATGGTTTAAGCTGGGTACACAGTCTTAAAAAAGTCAAGTCTTATGGGTAGCACAATAGGAAAAAAAACGTTATTTCTCGTGATACGCATAAAAATGAGTGATTATGGATATTTGGACCTTTATGTGTTGTATGAAAAACTTGATGAAAGACTTCAATGAATGGATGATGATTGTTCTTTCTTTGACAATGTACTCTTTATACGATAAATCTCTAACCATAAGTACATACTTGTTGTACCACTAACTAAGTAAAAATATTATAACCATTCTTTTATCAGGATAAATGAGGATTTTCGTGATAATACATATTTTATTCTCAGCGGAAATGATAAAAATTAAAAATAGAACAACTGGATGGAAACTAATGAAATTATTCAACTAGTTTATGAAAAATGAAATATACTATATTTAATGAATTAATAACGTATTATTGAATAAAGAATTTATGGTTGCTAATTAATTCTGAGCTCAACAAAGCATTTTTATTTACATCATTTCAATCTTTCCATTAATCAATAGAGAAAAAATTGCTACAATTTTCGTTTCCGCTTTGAATGGTCCCCTGGATAAAGATTGTCATTAATTAATAGGAATAAAGGATTGGTCCCTTTGTCTGGCAAGATTGCTAACACATTCGCTTGAAATAAAACAGAAATGTTACAAGAAGTTTTTAGATTTTATAATTTCTAAATTGCGAGTAGACATTGGTCTGGTCGTCCGACTCCCACCCATTCCTTGAACCTCGCGTAATATCACTGCCCATTGATAACGGTGCATCTTTCTTGACAAACTCTTGCAGGTCTGGGTCATCCAATCCCCTTTTGGACGAGTGACCGTTTTCCAACATGGTTTGTTCCCTTGGTTTGGCCCAGTGCATAGTCTGAAAAAGCATTGATTTAGAATTGTGTGCCTGAATATTTTGAGATGTGTAATAAATTTAATAAATCACTCACAGTTGCACACCGATTATGCATATTTAGCCAAGTTTTAAACGGAATGCACATTTCTGAGTGACGCCATTTATCATAAAGTGGTCGCAACTCGGGACTCGTAAGAGTATCGCGAGCTTCCTATAATCCAAATATGCATAAATAACTCTATAAAATCCCCAAAATTGATGCTTTTAACTCCTTAAGTAAATGAGTACCTGTAGACGTTGGAATTCTTGCAAAGCGTCCTGATTTCCCGGATTTTTATCAGGGTGACATTTTAAAGCCCGAATTCTATACTCTGTAACAATTTGTTCTTCCTGTTTTCAGAATCAGCATATCCAATATTAATTAGTTAGTTATAACCCAGAGCAATTTGATTGAAATTAAATTACCGTTGAATTTTCAGAGCAGCCCAAAATGTTGAAAAAATCGTTCCTATCCACGTCACCCTCGCCTCCAAGAATCTTTCCAATACTGAATGATAACGACATAACTACTTGGAATTTTTTCACAATTTGAGTACAGAATCTTGAAATATAAATTTTTTCACAATTTGAGTACAGAATCTTGAAATATAAATTTTTTCTACAACTAAACTGGATCCGTGAAGAGAAGAGATTCAACTCAACTAAGACGACGATGAAGATGAGAATCAAAATCGATACTTGGAACGTGGTTTACTGTAATAAGTGTATCAATCCTATATGCACTATGTGCCAACGAGTTGCGCTCTCCGACTCCCTGATTCAGCGTTTCTATTTCTAACTGTTCTTTTGAATTCTGGAAATTTTCAAGAGAACAAGGTCGTGAACAAACTAACCTACATATTAAATCACACAATCAAATGCAAATTAGTGTGGATGATGCGATATGTGTAATGAACAGAAGATAAATCCTTTAACCAGCCATCTGATTGGAAGACTTGTAGAAAGGGAGCTGCATATCTGTTTGTAAGAAAAAGGTCGACTAATCTTTCTATCGTTCAATATCATCAACTTAATTGTAGTAATCACAACACATGTATCTTGCATCATGTATGCAATAAATATTATTCATGCAGCAGTTGGTTGTTTTGTTGCTAGTGTTTTGTTATGCTTGCACGTAGTGAGAAGGTTACAACTTGTGTCTAAGCGTATGCTATGCAATGGGGCAAGAACTTTATACTTTTTTGGAGTAGTTAGACCACTACGATTCCATTAAGAAAATTACATTGAAACTGATAACTGCTCCTGATGTGGCATCCAAAGACGTTCATTGTGGATATGGGCAAACCCCGTTGACAACATTGTACATGTAAATTTCATGCAATTCAGATGAAAAGCTGATAAGTTACTGTTGAGTTCTTAACTGGGTTCATTGGTTTATTCATTATTTTATAAAATTACCAGGCAAGAAACAATAAGGATAATAATTACTAATAATACTAAAATAGAAATTTGTGATGATGGACAATTAATAATACTTGGGTTTGTATTACATTATATTAAGCCAACTAGCACATGGCATATCATCACAAATCTTGCGAAATTAAAGCTTCTAAAACCTAGTTAATATAATACAGTTAGTTAAAACTTGAGTTGTAGGTTAAAACTGCAGAATCTAGTTTCGTTTAATAAATGTATGTATTTATTAAAGCTAACGCTGCATTTGCAGCAGAAATTTCATGAGATCGTGATGTGATTCATCCATTACGGGAATTAGTTTATTGTGAATCTGTCTCAGCTCCACGGAAGAATTTTCCTGCACAGCGAGAACAAGGGACTTTAAAAGATACGTGACTTCTCTACGTTCTAGGTGATCTTTATTTGTACTTTCGCAGTACAATTCGGGCGATGCGCTGGAAAAGTCGTCATCACCAGCGTCGGCTGATGTCACTGGAAGCTTAGGCCAAATAAAATCAAGGACATCCGTTGTATTTCCACCAAGGATGAGCACCAACATAACTTTCATAATTTGGAATCTGTATAATTAAAATGAAATGATTACTCATCAGCATAAATATTCATCATTAATAGATCTGAGTAATATTTAGACTTTATGTATATTTACTTTTGAGCATATTCAGACACAAATTGAGCAGGAACTTCATTTTCATGATCGTAGTTTTTAATCGCAATAAGGCTATCATTCACAGTTTTGAGGACACTTTCCAATTCCATCATTTTCACTTTGGCTTTGCAGACAAGCTCTGTGACTAGCAATTGGTCAAAAAGAGAGAAACTCTGCTTTGCATCGATTAAAGCAATCTTGTAATAGTTTAAAGCTTCCCCATAGCTTCCATCACGGTACAGAATGTCGCCAAGCTGAAAAGTGTAACAAACTTATGAGTGACTTTATGACTACCAAATTATTCAATGTCTAGCTGTGTGTCATGTTGCTTACCTGCATATTTATCAATATCGCGGAGCCCTTATTACCTTGATTACTGAAAGATTTTGCTGCTTGGCTCAAAGTCTGGATACCAAGCTGTAATGTATACAAATATGCGATAGACAAAATTAACTATACATCAATCATATACGTGTAATGATATCGTCGCTAGTTCTGACCTCAAGATTCCCAAATAAACAAGTGGTATCACTTTGATCACTAAAGGGTTCTCCATTGAAATTAAAGTGCTGTTCAGACTCCCAAGCCTCCAAAAATAGCTTCGCAGCCTTCACTAAAGAATTTGCTTGTTGAACGTTGTTTCGCAAGCTTTCTTGGCATTTTGCAGATTCCAAGTAACAAACTGCGGCAAATGATTTTTGCTCTTCTCGCTGAAGTTCTTGACCAAGTGCTTCTGCAAAATTAGAATAATTGCAATCATTAGTGGGTATCCTACAGTCAAGCATTTTGTTATTTAATTGTTTGTACCATATTGCACAATAGCTTCAGCAACATTCGGTTTACGGAAAAATCTCCTACGCAATTAGCAAAAAGAAACAAACTTGTCAAACAGATTAGTTAAATAACGGATTCAAATAAATGCTATAATCTTAATCAAATGCTCACTTTTTCAGACTTTGACCAATAGCCTTGTACTGAGGCAAAAAGTCAGCTGTTGTGGGGGGAAGATTACCAATCCCGATCTCGTTCATTATTTAAAATTGTCGATTTCCCAAGTGTATTCTTTTCATCAGCAACAATGGAGGTCAAAATTCGAAACTCTTTGAATGATCAACGGTTGTCTTTAAATTGAATATGACCGAAATAGAACAAAATTAACTGCGAAGTTGAAAGTAAATTATTCGAGAACTTCAAACTTTAGCACGAAAACTATTATCAGCTTTCTTGTAGCTACTTCACATTTACCTTAAGTGGATGCAAATTTATTGTAATTGACAATGATTTACAAATGCTTATCAGTGCCAAAAACTGGATCAAAAGTTTTGATTCAAAACAAAACAGTATTTTCATGAAAACATAGACGATTAATAAAGCAATCGACTGTCCCGGCGAAGAGATGAGACAAGTGAGATTCAACGAAACCCCTCAAAAAAGGTTGAATGAAAGGATATTATGCAAATTTATATGCAAATCGACAAACTGTCCGTTCTTTATATAATTTAAGCAAGTTTAGCTTTGCAAAGATTTTATTATAATTAATTTTCATAAAATATATATATAGATTTTAAAGGATGAATATAGTTAAGTGTATAGCAAACGCAGGTGACAGACTCCAATTTGTAGTGCATCATCAATCACTTGTAAAATTTAAAGCTTAATCCAAATTAATTAAAGCTACACATATATTTAATGATGAGACTACGTTTTGCTGATATTAAGATTGATATTTAGATACAAGTAAAATCGGTATGATTTTTTATCACTTTGAGGTACATGTAACTTTGCTTAACTTATAAAATCTTTAGTCTCAATGTGATGTGCTTTCGCATATATTTTGCAAATTAGAGCATCATTCTTAACATATCCGTCAAGAAATGTTTTATCAATAGCTGAAAACTCTGGAAACCCAATTCCGGTCGCGTTTCTATGGGAGGACGGCTTTGCATAGGCGATCCCAGGTTTCGCAATTATCGTTTCGACAATCGAATTCTGTGGGTTGGACGGATGAATGATGACTAACCGCATGACGCCTGAAAAAGGCCATTGTAGCGTGTCGTCGAATTGGCCTTGCATAAAGTGGACGTAGAGTGAGATAAATGTATCCTTATCTAAATTTCCACAAAAAAACCAAGACAAACATTTCAAAATGTGCTGTTTTTTTATTAAATTGAACTTAATTGTTTAAAAAATACCGTTTTCCAAAGCGACATTAGCGTTTTGAATGGCAGCAGCTCCATGGGAAGACGGTGTCGTGAGGTTAAATCTGAGACACATCCTGTACCCGAAGATGTCCGTGTAAAAGTCTTGCGAATGTCGCACCCGATTCGGATCATTTCTCATTTCCATACACAATCTTCGAAAATCCGTAATCGTCCAGACGAATACGCCGTTACAGTAGCGAGATGTGAGGTCTTTGATGATGTTTGTCGCCGCGGAAAAGAGATTGACCGCGGAGGCAAGCTCAGATTGTAATTTCTCAATTTTGATCTGTTTTTCTCTGTCGTTCTGCTCGAGACGGACTAGTCTTTCGAAAACGTCGTTGAGCTGGTGTGATTGTGAGTGGGGTTGTTGAGTGTTGTTGCTGGAGGAATTGAAGGGAGTCATCATTGTACTACTGCGGGATGATGAAGGTTCTCCAGAAGGTTGAGGATCTTTGGATGTAGAAAAACAGTGATGCATTGATAATGCTGAAAGTGCAAAAATTGTGTGTGTACTTACCACCATGGTTGGCATGTGGCTTACAAAGTGACTCGTCCGACTCGGCTAATCTTGGCGGATAGAATCTCGGCCTAGATTTGGCGTTATGTTTGTTCTGAGCAAATCTGACACTGTCCCATGACCTTTGTCTGCGGAACTCAAAGTCATCCGAGTCTAGCGTGTCGTCCAATAGCCATCGTTGCGATTCACGCGAGTCTTGACGCCAAAACGAGTCTGGAGGATGGTCCAAGTTGGAACGGGAAGAGGAATACAGTTTTAAGCGCTTGTACGCCATGGTCATCAACTGAATAATAATATTAATGATTATAAATATGCATGGAAATTGGTTACAAATTATTATTGTAAATTGTCATACGTGCAAATGCTTGTGAACATCGGCAACCGTGTGCTTATGCATTTCTGAAGGATGAACCCTGATGTCACATCCAAACTCTTTGAACCAACAGTCGCTCACATCCGCTCCTCCGGTTGAAAAGTGGGGGCTCCCGTTCACCGAAAAAGATGCGTCATTCCGATGTTCCGTGTGGACGTGACGATCCAAATCACTAATCGGGAGAATAATTTCACACCCGTCCGTCGTGTAGGGACACTTTGCTTTGGACTGCATGATCTCACGGCGAGTGAAATTATCAGGGAAAATGTTTTCGTGTGAGAGACTTACTCCATCAACGGGACACTTCCCACCAAGGTCACTAATTTTATTTTCATAATAAATTTTATATTATATTTCACGACATTTTACCAGGCACAAAAACAATAGTGAATTTCCAACTCACACAACCCAGACTCTGATACAACCACTGCAGAATTTGTGGCCACACGTTGTAAGCACCGGATCTCGGAAACAAAGAAGACAGATTGGGCACTCGTAACGAGAATCTGTGATGCCAACCAGCTCATAGTCATATCCTCCCTGCAAAATTGCACACACAAATAAAAAATTAATTGCTTTGTAAATATGAGGAGATGGTGTCAATTTCGCACACTGTATTTGCTGACTACACACAAAACGTTATGGGTTAAGCACCGCAAAGTTGTAAAAGAAATGTCTCCACGTGCTTTCAGCCGCAGTGCACATCACCAATTGCTTAGCAGTACTTGCAGTGAAAGTATTAAATAATTCTCACCTCTGAATAAGTGCTGGTCGCGTGGGCACTGGGTTTGCAACCTCCCAACGTGGTCATCACCGTCGTTCCTGCAGAATCCTCCGCACAAGAGGTACTGCTCGCCTGTGGGGCTGTCCCATTGCAGGTCGGAGGTGAATTGTTTTCCATGTTAATTGATTATTGAGATACACTTTTGTTAATTATTCGTATAATATTCTCTCATTTACATATATTTCTACAACCCTGATATGTTACTGTTACTTGATTGTTATTGCTTAACGTTGCAGCTTTATTGATTGAGTTCAGTTACTTATTTTTGGGCAAATACTCTTTTTTTATATACTAATTCAGTTTAAGAAATTTGGACGCATACTTTGTAAGAGGCTGAGCTGTCGGGTTCCGTTATTTATTAGCTTGTAAGTTTACTGATGAAAAACTAATAGATCTTTGAGCAAATTTGTGTTCAGCTAAATGCATGCACTGATTGATTGTTCTTACAACTACGTATATTTAAGTATATGGACAAGAAGCTAAATTATTTGCATATTAGATTTGTAACAATAGTTAGTGATGGACGTAGAGGATGATACTACGCATTCTTCATGGTACAATTATTATTATTGTTATTAATTAATTGGTTTGTGTATAGATTTGTTATTCCAAAAGTTCCTGTTCCTGCCTGGTACATACGGAATGCAAGTCTTGGGTGACTTCATGCATAATTGAATTGTTAACATTCATCACCAATCTGCATTCAAGTATAATGTTATTTCTATTTTAGTGTTTCTCAGAACTGTTTAATTTCGGTTCAAGTTGAAGTGGATGCAATATTTGGGATATGACCCATTGTATAAAATTGTTGATATTTCTTTCTACATCGATATCTGAGCTGAGCTGAGGTTACATTATTTTATTGCTGATTGTTACGCTTAATTGGCAACGCCGTTTGCCAAGAAATTTACTTTTATTTTTTCATTCAGTTTTATTTAAGTGTGTCCTTGACTCATATTTAATTACGAATATTGGTTTCCTTTAAGGCTTTGTAATAGTCTCTCACATTTCATACATTTTTTTAACAATAGTTTGGACGGACGGTTTGGATGATTATTATCCAAATTCGATAAGCAAATATAGCACTTTCTTAGATCACCGGTGATGGCAAATCATGCAACACAAAGATGCACAGCACTTTTAGGTTTCACAATGGAAGAATTTTTCTTGTAGAAGAATACATTTAAGAGCAACACAAATTGAAACGTCACAAATAATACAGATCACATCAAGAGTATACACAATTAGAAATACTGAGCAATCGTCCAACAAATATAACAGTTTTTTTTGAGAAAAATAAAGCAGCATGCGAGATATATTTTCACAAACCTTTATAACGCATAGATTATAATTACGATGACAAATACGATGACAGTACGAGCAATGTATGACTGGTGAAGAAAATGAGCACAAATTTTTGAAGTCACTCTAATTGGTTACAAGACGGGGAAAAGATTTATAAAGATCATCATAATTTAGGGATGACTCAATCAATGGGAAGAAATCGACTCTACCACGGCTCTAGTAGATCCATCCACACTGCAAAAATCAACAATGCAACTTGGATTGTATTGTAGCAAAACATGCGATGCACTATATCTGCAAGCGTATAATCTTTTAGTTCTTGTACTTGGTAAAGCAGGTGGATAATATTTGATACTACAATGGGCAATGGGAGGACAGGTAGATTTTTCGAGGTACAGGTGCGGAGCGGACTCTCTCGTCTCTCCTGTTTTATTAGTGGTCAGGCCGCCCATGAAACCTAAGCTAGAGCTTCATTCACCTGCATAGCTTTCAAGTTCCATGAACACCTTTTTATTATTCTAATGGGAACATACTACTATTGAGCGGAGCTCATATCACATCATAAGTATTATATCATTGCGGGACTAGAAAAAGGATTATGTTCTCTTTTCTCTGGACTAAACAAACGTAGCAGTCTGAGCAGCATAGCACTGTCATTTCGTGCGGTGCGGACCATTTCAGGATTAAGAGAACAGTTGTTTGTTTGTTGGAAGGGTTATAAATTCTGTCCTCTTTCCTGGAGAAAGTCGTATTGTATGAATTTTTTTTAGAATACATGCAATTTTGAAAGAAAAACGTGGAAGAATCTTAATGTTCCGAGAATTTTCACGACATTAAATTTGCCTTCGACATAATACACACACATCTTTTCTGGATGTTTCCGTCAAAACTTATGTTTACTAATAGAGAGACTAGCAGGCAGAGTTTCCTTCATAAGCAAGGTGAGTGTGGAGGAGAATTGAATTGTGGGATTATTGCACCTGCTTTTGCCAGGTCTTTACCAAACTCGTTGCATTGTGAACATAGTAAACGACGTGCAAAGCATAGTTTTGGTTGACTCACCGTCAATAACCGCAATGAAAAGTTGCCTTGAGTATACATGCATGCATAATAGTGGGTGAGTCAAATTATCACCAAATCTTGCTCTGCTTTTGCAAACACTTTCGCCACCACTGCCACCATGAACACTGAGGTAGCGACTGAGTGACAGGAGCAAAGCAGAGTAAAAGTCCAATAAATGCATGAAACGGAAATGTAATAAGGGAAAAGTACATTACTTTCAGAACAGTTTCGTTCAGAAGGGAATATCGACCATGGAATGTACTTTGCTAATGAAAGGAGAAAGTCATGCATGTTCGGCTTTCTCTTGCATACTTGCGATTTTTACTTGCGTAATCCTCCAAGGACTTCGTTTTTGAGACGTTGGTAGCATTATATAAATCCAAAGTGACATTGATTACTTTGATGTAAGCACTTATCTCAGCAAAGTGGGCGAAGTAAAGAACTGAAAGCCAATTAGAATAATTGAGCAAATGTATTTGCTGGATGTATGGAAGTATTGGTGCTAAAGCAAATATAAATAGCGACTAATAATCCAGAAAGATCAGAGATGTGATTTTGTTTGACAAAATGTGAAATGTACATCGTTATTGGAATCATTACACAAAATTAAAATTTATTTATACAACTATAAATTGTTCAGGTATATATTTAGACAGGAAATTAAAGACTCAGTCGTCATTTACTAATGACAGAAATTGAGAAAATTGAAAGTTAGATATGTCATCTATAATTTGATTCGATTATTTCAATAGTTCTAAACCATTCGGGAATAAAACTCGTGTATAACAATGACATGCAAATTAAGGTGACACATGGAGCTATTTTGATGCGCATAACCATCTCTCTCCCTTCAACTTTGGATTCTATAAAAGAATTTCCATTTATAAATGTTGAAAGACAAAATGTCTCAACTCATTTTGGCGTATTCAACTTTTTGCAAGATTCAATTTCATGGAATAATCGAGCAGCAATCTCAATTTTGTAATACGCCTGCCTGCCTGCCGAATAGAAAATAATCGAATGATGTACACATTCACTTCACGAAATGGAAATACATTTACTGGAAATTGGCAAGAAATAAATAAACTCGGCCCCATTGCAAATCAATCGTGTTTGAATTAATTTCCATATTTTCATCTCTTACTTACTTACTATGGGTTCATCTTAAAAAATCTGTTTTAAACACATACTAGGTACGAACGTATTATACTCGAGCAGAACAATGTTATCACAATCATAAATATACATTCTTCTTTTTTTGTCCCCACTTCATACTTGCATAAAACATCCGACCCGAATAAAATCCATCTCAATCGACATCACAACCTATCAAGCTGCATCTCTCAAAATCAAAGAAACATCAACACCCGCAATCGTCCTCCATTTAATTCAACATTCATTTTTACCTGATTTTTAAACCACTGTAAATAAATTTCGAAATTTTGGAAATAAATAATTTCCCTTGGATCCTTGGGACTTGAGTGAGCATCGTTTCTGCCTTGAAAACAAAGGAGCAGTGAATGAAGTAGGTTTTTTCTTGTGACGGATTCGGGATTTAGCAGGCGCTGGTGTAACCCGACCCGACTGCGCCCTGGCTGGAGAAGAGAATCACCACCACTCTTCCCTCTATCCACCAACCTCATCTCATCTTCTCATCTTGTCAAACCCACCAAAAGCCCTCATTGTTCTCTCTCTTCTCTCCTCGTCCTCCGCTCAGCTTCTGCCTTCCCAAGCAGAAAACTTCTTCTTCCTCCGCTCCTCCAGCCTCCCAGGTAAGGCTCACCAATTTTTATATTTCCTCAAAATTAGCTCCCTTTTTCGAGTGAAATTGGAGGCCGAAAGCAGCCCTCTCTGCGTGCAGGAAAAGGTGCAGGTTGCACTGTGGTTTAGATCTAATTTGATTCCCACTCTCCTCGGCTGACTGGCGATGGAACGAGTTTTAATTGTAATTTAGTTAAATTAGACTCAAGTTCAGTGTACAAACTGGATTAAAAAAGGGTGAGAAGTAGGTGAAACTACGAGGTGTCGGAAAATAAGGACAAGTAGGAAATTGTTTGTTTTTGTCTTGGTATGTATTATTGGTTATCGTTGTGTTCTTGTGTCTCCTGATTTAATATTTTCCCTTAACACATCCACCAAATATAATGAACGGATGGATGGCAATTAACTAAAGTTGGAATGAATAACCAGAAAGTGTATGTTGGTTGTTGAGCAAGGCCAGATAATGTGTTATAGAATTGTGGTTTTGTTTGGAGTGAAGGCAAGGCATTGTAAATTTGGGGAGAGGTTTTTTTATAACAATTGAATCGAATCAGATTTTTGAACGGGTTTTGGAATTTGTTGGATCATTTCGTTAGTGAAATTCTTGATGAATTGGAACGGGAAGTTTTGAGAATTAGTAATCGGGAAGTAAAAAAAATATTTTAGGTAAAGGTTTATTGAAAAGTATTTATAGTTTTTGATTTTATAGAGTTTTAAAGTAATTGGAGAAATTATAAGTTGAATACAAGTAGAAAATTCTGATGAATTTCAGATGAAGAGAAATATTGTGAAATATTATTATATAATTCGTGGTCAAGAAGAAAGGTAAAATTGACATCGATTTTCAATTATTTATTTATTGCAGGTGGATCGAAGTAACTATTAGAGTTGCTTTGCAACAATAAAACAAACTGTATTCAGACGAGGAGAAACTTATCAAAATAGAAGAAACTACTCTCAGTTGGAATTTTAAAATTATACAGTTTTGAAATACAAGGTAAATATACTTTAACAAATTGTATGGGTTGGTTATACATAGATGCCCGTTTTAATTATTTAAATTGTGTTTAGCAGTGATAATGTCGTCGTGAAAGCTTGACAAGTTTGTATGGTGAGGAAAATAATTTAGAATCATTCTTGTTATCCGGCCTGGTGAATCATCTTCGGAAAAGAAGAAGAGGGAAGATGAGTTGACGGGACGAGTTCAACAAATTTCGGAATGGTTCTTGCGACAGAGTCGATGTCAGAAGCAGCAGGAAGTGGTGTAAGCATCAAATCTACTGTTGGGATGAGTAATGTGGGAGGAGGTGGAGGACAAAGCGTGTCTTCGTCAATATCGTCAAAAATGATGCTGCAGAATCGAGTCTTCTCAATGACTCCGAAAGAACTCTCTGATAACGATGATCTCGCCACGGCAATTGTGTTAGATCCCGTCCTAGGATTCAATACACACAAAATGTGTCTAAGGTATGAGAAAATCTTAGATTTTGATTTTGAGGTAATGAATTGTGGTCTTAGGGTATGTTTTTTAAACTTTATAGATATTACCCACCGTACAAAACGCCGGAAAGTGCACAGACTTTGAAGAATATTATAGAAAAGTTTAGTGATCATCAAAATCAAGATGTGGCAATGAACGAATTGATAGAAGGAGGTTTCCTCCGTAAATTCTTGAAAAACAAGACACCAGAGCAAACAGTGGCTGTCCAAGAACATGTAAGTATGATGTCTCAGTCTTGAGTTGTGTATTGAATATTTGATTTCGGGTTTCTTTAAAGTCATAATGTTACTGGTTTCACAGGTACGGAGGTACATTCGAGTATTTCATAGAGAGGCAGGATTCCAAATAGTTCCGTGTTACCGATACAGCATGGAAGGAAAACAGGGTGCAAGAATTTGCTCCACTCGTAAATGGTAAATCTAAAATCACATTGTTTTATGAATATTAAGTAATATAGTAACTGCTATATAACATATAATTTACAAATATTTAGGTCAAAGAAGGATTCAATTCCCTTCCTTGTCGGCTGTATCGCAGAACTGAATGAAGCTGAAGAGTCCCAACTGCTTGTTGCTGGAAAGAACGACTTTTCAGTCATGTATTCCTGCCGGAAAAATTGCGCCCAATTGTGGCTAGGACCGGCCGCTTTCATCAATCATGACTGTAGACCCAATTGCAAAGTTAGTTCATCTACTCAATTTTATTTAATTATGTGATGCAGTACCCTAACTGGTGATTTGATTTATTAAATAGTTGATGGCCACTGGTCGAGATACGGCATGTGTTGTTGCGCTTAGGGACATTAATGACGGAGAAGAAATTACCTGTGCATACGGAAGCGACTTTTTTGGAGACAAAAACTGTCATTGTGAATGTCGAACGTGCGAACGGTAAATGTAGTAATAAATTATCTGCTTGATTTTTTAATTATATTCTAAACTAATATGTTATTACTCCTTATGAAATAATCATCAGACGTGGCACAGGTGCTTTTTCGGCACTGAAAGAAAAGGGAACGGAAGAAAAGGGATACCGTCTCCGAGAAACGGACAATAGGCTGAATAGGCGAAAAAACCTAGAGAAACAAGACTTTGAAACTCCAGTAATTCCTGCTACTAGTGCACCAACCCCAAGTATTGGTCAAATCCCTAAATGTTCTCAACAACTCCGAAATTTATCTCAAGGCACATGTTCAAGTACAGTGTCGAAATCGACTGAGCCGATGATCACAAGGTATGTATATGTACAGTACGCTATTCAATCGATTCAATGAAATGAAAATGTTTAAATGATTAAACATTTTTACTAAGTTAAATGTTTACAATGTTTAAAAATTTAAATGCTCTCTTGACTTTAGACGAGTTGCTAGCCCTGGAAAAGACCTTAGGCGACTCAAGAAATCATGTCATAGAACTCGCTCGTCTTCTGATGTCAAATTACAAGCCGCAACTTCGTCATCTGACCTTGTCAGTTTTATCGTTGAGGATTCTGGATCCAATTCAAGCTCATCGAGCAATCAAAGCGACTCTGGAATTGAATGCAGCAGTGGGTCTAGCACTTCCAGCAATAGAAACATTGGCGATATATTCTCTCGATATTCAAACTCAAGACTTCAGCTGGCGGACAACAACTTTGGCATTCAACTTCGGAGTCATCGGGTTCTCAAGGAACCACTCCCCACACCAAGGGCCCAAGCTCGATATAAGAAAAGGTTAAGTACTGCTGAGGTTACTTCTACAACTGTTAATAGTCGTGATAATTCGGACTTAAACTTATTAAGAGAATCGCATTCAAGGTTTGGTCTCTCTGGTGAGGGAAATTCTCATAAGTCGACTAGGAGGTTGAGAATGACTTTTAGGATGAAACGGAGTAATATTCTTGACGAAGTGATAGAATCGGGTACCAAATGCAATGAAAATGGTCGTGGTAGTGGTGATGGTAATGATGGGGCGCGAAAACACTCCTCCTCCTCGGAGCTGGAGAACACCAGTGTATTATTTGAGCCCCATTATGAAATTCTTCGTTGTGAAGCCAGTAGTCCGACACTTTCCAATAATTCTCCCATTCGTAGTAGCCATCCTGTTAGCATCGACTCCGACTGTCATACCACTACTGCTCGAAAAAAGAACAAGAAAAAGAGCAAAAAACGTAAACACAAGTCTAAGGACAAGGATAGGGAAAAAAGGGACAGGGTCCATGCATCCGTGGTAGAAGATAGCGTAGGTATTATTGCTCCTCCTCCCCCCTCATTCAATTTTGAAAGTGACGAACAAGACCCTGACAGCGATGATGATGATGACGTTGTTGGCGAAGCTGGTGGTCGTCGGGAGGGCGATGACGATGACAACAATAACCAAAAGGTTAAGAAAGAAGGTCATATTGACGATCTTGATGATTTTCTGGATGGGCCTCCCGATAGTAGACCAACAGTATTGACAGCATCCCCTGCACCCAGTGCCAGTTCATCATCATCGTCCTCCTCATCAAACCCACAGACGAAACGGTTAAAGTTGGTTATTGGAAATGAGGCCTGTACCATCATTGATATTCCCCCTACTGCATTTCAGGGTCCGGTGGTTCACTGATGATAGTTTTATACTACATTTTACTACACCTTGTATAATGAAACTCATCATTCGTATTCATTGACTTTTCCTTATCCATAGAAAATATTTCTGTTGTGACCTCAATGCATCCTCTCTCGTTTGACTTATTATGTATATACACCACATTATAATCTTCGATATATATATATATTTAAATATGTATATTGTGGTTGACTTTCCTCACATTGCATACGTAAAGATGCTCAGTTAGTTAGTTAGGTACTTAGTTAGATATAGTAAAGTTGTAGTATTATAGTACAGTGTAGATTAAAATGGGCAGTAAAAAAAATCGATGTAGAAAACTTAGCTTTATATTGTAACCCATGATCAGATCTGAAGCTGCAATTGCACACAAAAATCATCTCATTAACTAACAATATTAGTTAATCACATATTATGTGATGATTTCCAAAAGTGAATACGAAAACAGGAAAAAGCGCATAATACAGGAGGGAGTAAACAAAACTAACTATTTGTTAAGAACTTATCTCATGTGGATAGACTGATTAGTGTTCTCATCTCAACACCGGATAATCGCATTACGTCGTCGTCGCGCGTTGGTTAATTTAGAATAATATAATTCTTATACTATTATGCTTATACTTGAAGGAAGGATGATTTCTTTGGGGAAAATTTAGTGAACCGGGGGATCAGATGGTATAACTGATACGTGATTATGACCAAACTCTTACTGACCATGTTTGTATCTTTTTTTTCAGCTAAATGCATATTTATCTGATCCATATTTCTCCAGAGAATTGTCTCCAAATTTAAATATGCAAGTCTGTACTTTCACATTGTATGTGAGCCTTAAATTTTTGTATTTCAATTTTGTTTCAATTAATAATTTGTTTGAATTTGTTTCTATTTATGTCACTTAATTTGATGTTTGCTTCTACAGAAAATAAATTGCTTTTTATCTAAATATCCATATTTATTTGTGGGGATGACCACAAACAATGGCTGACATTAGACTGTTATCTTATTATTCTAGCTCAATGTGTTTTACTGTATTTATTTAATTCGACTTTTGCCATAATAAGTAGATATGTATTTAATTAATTGCCATCAGGAAATGTTCCTCATTGTTGAAATGCTTTATAAATTATTATAAAACAAAGTGGGAAATATTGTTACATATTTAGTACTTTGATAATTTGTGGAAATACTAAAACTTACACTATATACCGCTAATACGTCGTAACCCAAGTTTGAAAACAAGTATATGGAAATTTTCAAATATGTATTAGGAATTTTTCCCTACCTCAAGATGAACTGAATGTCATAATATTTCTCATGTAATTACTGTGCTTGTCCAAAGCATAATAATTTTGAGCCCTGTTGAACACTAACCTACCCGTTGTCCATGTTCGAAAAATATCAAAGTCTAACATTAATGCAAAACAGGTTTAATTCTCGGTTAACTAAAATTAATTATTATTATTGTTACCACGCTCTACTTTTATATCGCTGTCCAGTTATTTCCATGCCTCTTTACTGAGTATGTACGACGACCTATACTTGTATAAATCGCATAATAATAATAATAATACATAATAACATGGAGAAAGCTGTTGTAGATTTTCTATGTATCGAAGAACGAACCCGATTTGCTCTCTATACTTGTTAAATCGGTTTACGAATATGAACTGCAAGATGGAAATTGTTGTATTAAGTTATGATGGCTTGTTTTTGTGTGTCACCAAAATGTGATTCAAATTTAAATCGTATCTTCTTATAATAAAGTGTTTTATTTCCATAGAAAATCTTTCATACTCTTGTTTATGCTGCATATTTACATACATGAACAAGTTTTACGACTCGCATCTACTGCTTTTACTACTACTCGTGTGGCAATTCATCATTTAGTGGTTAGCTGTAGTGCGAAAGACCCGTGTGCTCTGTGGAGCCAGCATACATACATATTTGCACAAGTGAAAGAATGAAAATCAACAATTTTGCCGGTTCTAGGGCCGAATTCGAGTGCAGTTATTCAAGGGAAATTGCATAATTTGGTTTCGACATTACAAAACCATTAGTTTACTTCACCTACTCGACTTTTATGTTACGCATTTGGTACTTGTGATCAGTTCTCTGTTCTTACAAGCTACTGAGAGAGTGAGAGTGAGAAAGAGAGAGAGATGCAGTTATGTTGTTGGCCCTACATATCCCGCCCGACTGGGAGGTGGGAGGGTGGATAGTGGTTTGGTTTGGAAATAATGGGTCATAAAACCCACTTTGGTTCATGGCACGGTCAGCCACTAAAGTGGTAAAATGTTTCATTTTAATTGTGACTCCATTTCAGAAACACATGTTTGATAGGCTTTTACTCTTCCTGAGTTGGAGCATACATCATCTGAGCCGATGTGTGCCGTGGTAGTGCTCCTTCCTATCTCTCCAACAGGGTCGTCGACGCTCAGTATCTCTTCCAAAGTGTGTTGGTTAATTACTCGTAACATCTTAAATCACCACCAGTTTGCGTTTGGCGGAGAGGAGGAGAAGTTATGTAATGGGATGAAGAAAGTATGGGACAGCTCCGACTGCGGATAATTTCTGGGTGAAAGTAGCACGAGGCTGTACGTGCAGTGTCACCTCTCCTCTTACACAACTCGCACTTACACACATTGTCCAGCTCACTTGTTGTGGTGTCCAACTTTGATTAATTTCTCAATAATTGTCAGGGCACTTCTTGCATAATTGTGGTCAAATGCTCTCCCTGTAGGTTAGGAGAGAGAGAAAGAGCTGTTCAATTTCCCATGGACTAGGAGAGAGAGTGAGAGGAGAGTGAGAGAGGGTGAGAGAAAAGGACTCACTACACATTAGGAGGGAACTAGAACCTATTTTTCATGACGAGTTATGCTGCCTACAACTGTTTTATTTTATTCATTCGTTCTCACAAATTGGTGGAAACTAGGGAACAAAGGGAGCGAGTTTGGCGGAGAAAGCTGGCTACATGCATACATCCACTTTCTCTCTCTCGCTCTCCTGACTCTAACAGCCAGCCAGCCACCACCGAATACCATCCACCATCCACTAACCAGCAGCCAGAGAAGGAGGAGGAAGAGCCACAGCAGTCCCATGAACACGCTATAATTTATAGAAAAGTCAGCCAGCTTTGGTGAATGGCTTGGCCTAAATAAACTTGTACAATGTGTGTGAATTGCCTATATATTTTTGCTCAAATTGAGTATGTCATCCTGGATCAGCTTGGCTTTCCCTTTCTGCTTCCTCACTCTCTCTCTTTTGTAAAGAGAGCCGAGGGTGAAATCACAACGGATGTAAAACCAGGAAAGTATACTATGATATTAATCCAGAGTTTGAACGTGTTGGAGTATTTTATAAAAAATGCGGGTATATTTTCCTAGTCTTGCTCCTTAATCATAGTCCAATTCTTGTTGCAGTTCTGCTTGTTTCGCATCAAGGAGATCTTCGGCAACCCTTCATCGGAAGATCACAAGTTGCGAGTGAGTGCCACGTTTGGGGAAAGGGGAAACATAACGGAAGGAAGAACGTGAGAAATAAATGCCACAGTATCCAAAACCTGGCAGAGGAGACTTCTTGATCCAAGTAAATGTTTCCTGTCCTCTTCTCTCTCCTTTCCAGACGATGGTCGCACGGTCGGATGGATGAATAGACAACATTTATTCAATTCTTTGATATTTAACTGCTAGGATAATGCACGTCCACTTCGGATCGGATCAGATGTAGTACATTTTTACGCGTAGAAGTAACTGCTACTACTTGTTTTTACTACGGAAGAGAGATGCAATAACTTCTTGTCTGTTTAGCAAACAACAAAAAAAGGAGCGTTTTTTGTACAAAAAAGTAAGAAAATATGTTTTTGTGCAAGGTGGCTATATACAATGCCAATCTCGTCTCCTTTAGTAAGTAGGTAGACCAATAAATCCTAAAAATATGCAACTTTTTCATGCTGCCGGCCCAAAGTCTGTCAACAAGCAGTACCGGTGTTTTCTGCTGATAGAGAAAAGTGTGGTTATACTCCAGAATTATAAAAGTTGACGCTTTTAGGGTTTTACCAGTGATTGGGCTTACCTACGTGCTAACGAGGATGAGAGAATGGTCATATGTAGCTACCTTGGTTTTCATGTTTTGGAGGAAAACTTTTTTTGTCAAGTAAAATTACATAAGCAATTACTTACTTTCATTTCATCGGAGAGAGAATGACCAGGAGAACAAGTTTGTTGTTTGAGGGGTAAACAAGACAGGGACAATTGGTGAAAGGAGAGGAGGCTCGAGAAGTGCTTACTATTGTTGTTGTTGAGAAAGTCGTAGAAATAATGGCAAGAAGAGGAAGAAGTAAAAGAGAAGTAAACGGCAATCTGTACGAGAGCAGGAGGATCAGATCAATCTGTTCCAATCACAATGCATCAACTTTCTCCAGGAAATTTAATCTGGCATGTGGACTGCCATTTACAGAATTTAATCAAATGATGCTTTTTCTTTCCTGGAATGAGTACACGCACAAAAAAAAGTCTCAGAAATCCAATTCAGTATATCGAGTTTGAAGATGGAATACGACACTGCCCGTCGGTATATGGACAGCGCGTGGGTAAGGATTATGTATCCACTCGAATATAGTGTGTAGCAAGACAACCTGCGGAATACCATGTACACTTTGTGCCCTGAGGTTTCCGAGCGGATTGAGAACTAGATGATGGCGTTAGGTGTCAAAGGTCAAAGACTTTCATGACGGGAGTTTCGTTTAGGGCGGATAATACATGATGCAGGATTATTTTTTTGGGGAGAAACTTGTCCAATCAGGTCAGTCTCGTTCTTCGTTCGTTTACAGATAATATTTCCTTGCTGTGCAAAAATCTAACTATTTCGGAAATAAGGAATGAGCTAAACTTGTTATGAATCATTCCAAAGTTCCAATTCTTAGTAGCATGCGATGCAAGGGCTAGGACACCATCCTGCCAGAAATCCCGAAACCTTGCAAACTTTCATCTGCTCATAAAAGTGGAGGCAAAGTGAGAGAGCCAACAAAATGTAGCTGGAAGAACGAAGGAGAGAGAGAGAAGGAGGATGACCAGTGAGATAAAGAACAAGAAAAGAACTGAGTACTCATAATAAGTGGGACAAATACTTGGGTCGAGAGCCCTTGTCATTGACTTATTGTATCTCAAGACGAGATCACCACGGACAGTTAGGAAGGAAGGGCTACTACCTTGGTCTACTTGACAATGCGACCCATGCACTTAAACCACCAGGACTTGGCGACGGAGGTGGGTGGAGTATGGTCATCCCTGCATTGTGTCTTCAATGAGTGACAAATGGGAAAACCTGGGAAAGCCCATGGCTTCCAATTTCGTTCCGGAAATATAGCGTGCGTATGTATGTGAAGAGACAAATTCGGGACTCGGTATGAAGCAGAGGGCGGAGAAATGATGACATTTTTTTATACAAACTCAAGAATAATGGAGTTCAAAATAATTGCCTTGCTTTGTTTGCTCTTGTGCAGAACAACTGTTCATTTACCAAGTATGAGAAAGGAAACCCATCCAATTATGATTGCACATTATACACAAAACCTTCTGCAAAGGCGTTTGTTGAATGCAAATATCTCAAATACCAGAAACACCAGATTGGTACCATGAGCATAATAAAGTTTCACAGTTCATTACTTTGAAATTAATATCGGGTGGAGAAAGGTGATAACTTATATAGTTGGGCCACATCTCCACAAACCAAAAACCAACAACTTTCTCCGGGTGGTTGACTCCTCCAAGTCGAAACTCAGACTCAGACCAAGCAGCAGCAGCTCTCTCCTCGTATCTTATTGCAGCAATGAAGCCAAATAACTTATGCTTAGAAGTCTCATCATCAGCAATCCCAACATATTTAGCGTTCCTTATTAACCCGCATGCTGCATGGCTAAGAGTCATGGCGCAGTATTGTGATCCTTAATGCGTGCATAAACTTTTTACCGTTAAGCCAAGACTTATTGCACCAATCTCAATCAAAACACTCGAACACGATTCTAAGCCGTGTTTTGCACGAGGTGTGCTAAATAAGTATGTCAATATTTAATTATCTTTTTAATGCGAGATTTGATTCATGACCGATCGAGTTTGTGAACGGAAGTGTGCAAATTGTTTGTGCTGCTTGGCGAAACCTTTGTCTTTCTCGGTCTACTTGGAGCATTATTTTGCAAGTGTGTGTGTAGTTAGCAGCATGTAAGTCGTGTGGTGAGGAGGAGAAGGAGAGGAGATTCTATGTATACATATACATATATTCTCACCAAAACTTGCGAATATTCCCCCTCCTCGCTCATTGCCATCCACCTCCCGTAATAAATGGCTAATAATAATCACCTTGATGAAGATTAACAGCACCGTTCCCCAACTTAAGTGCTACTTCTCGCAACTAATCAAAATTTAGGGGTGGTGGAAGCGTCAACCGAAGGCAGGCAAAGTGTTGGTGGAGCAGGGAAAGAGCAGGTCTTATTATTTATTGTGATCTCATGCAAAAGCAAAGACCTGGACAGATTATCTCATTTAAAACCATCGCCTCCCTTTCCTCTCAGCAGAATAAACTTGCTTTGCCTCTCCCAACAAGTCTCCATTTCAAAGGTGTGCACCGTTCTCTTTAATGGTTCCAATTTCAGTTGATTATTCTCTCTTCGTTAGACGGGTTGGTAAGTAGCAAATTGAACAGTTAGAGTGTGAAGTGTGCTGAAGAACTCAATATTATCGATCCCCCCAGTTTTACTCCCCAGGTTTATGTCGAGTTGTTGATTATCATG